TTTTGGTTTTTCACCAAACAACGGGCCATGAATTGAGAGGGATAACATGTGCATAAGAGGGGGGGGGGGGGGGGGGTACTCATAGTCGTGCATGCCGTAGTCGTTTGACCATTGACCTCGCATCCCTACAAAGCCGGAACGGAGCACGCCGGGTTCTCACCGGACCAGGCTCTCACATCACCAAATGCGAAGCGCCGTGAGGTATTTGGCGAGTCGCATGAAGGGTGAGCTGCATCCTGCTAAGGGTGTTCGGCATCTTGTTCTTACTTCCTTGCGTACGGATGACAGCTACGTATGACTTAATTTATTTTCTGGTGCTTTTACTTCCAGAGACAGTTGTAAGCACTGTGTAACTGCCTCGAGGAAGCTTGACCATTTTAACACAACGTGGTGCGATCATCCCCCGTTGCGCGGAGTGAGGTTTCTCCACCCTGCACAACATGATCTACTCGACCACCATTATGGTTACCGCCAAAAAAAAAAAACGAGGTAAAAAAAAAAAACGGTAACCTGGTTGCCGAGTTCACGAAGTGAATTGGCTTGTTTTACAACGTCGTTGCCAAGCGACGAAAACCCAATCCCGATGGCAAACACCGAGTGGGGGGCTTGTTTTACAACGTCGTTGCCAAGCGACGAAAACCCAACCCCGATGGCAAACACCGGGGGGGGCGGCTTGTTTTACAACGTCGTTGCCAAGCGACGAAAACCCAACCCCGATGGCAAACACCGGGAGGTGTGCCTGAGAGGGGAAGGGAAATAAAAAAAACTGTCCTCTGAGAGATCAAATACGCAATGAAGTTGAGCAGCGCTGCTCTCACTGCTACCCCGATTAGGTCGGCATATAACATGTATGATGAGGCTCAGGCGATTTTCTGACTGATTTGAAACCCCCATTTCCTGTTCGGAGATCAAGTTGATCTTGCCTTTAACCGAATGCCAGGCGAAGGTTCCGTGCGTGTTGGTGTCGTCATCCACTCTTATAGCAAAAACCCTTACCGCCCTTGTCTACAGCAGGAATCACGCGTCTGGCAGCTCGGAACTTCGTCCACCAGGGGTGCAACAGATCGCAATATGCGTGTGATCGGCCGTTTGCGGGTGTTTTGCCTGGGCTTGATGGGACTATCATCGGTCAGCGGTGATGACGGTGGGTCATGTGGATGCGTGGTGCGTGCAAAACCCTTGCGCGATTCAGTGGGAACGGCCTGATGTCCGGTTCACGAGTCAGAACTCACGGTCAGTCGTATACACTCCCCCCCTTCATACGAAAATCTCTAAAATAGGAAAGTAGGTACCTCGGTGTGAAGATATCGCGTGCCCACTCTCTTTGACAATTCGAAGCGCTGACGTTACCACGCACACCGCCGCAATTACCGTGTGTATCTCCGACTCCGACTGCCCTCCACGTGAAAGGGTGGGGATGGTGTTAGTCGGTCAAAAACTTGACATTTCTTTCACTTTCGAATGAAGTCGAAGAGTCGGCCGCGTGGTCGCCAGCATCCTGAAGTCGACGACAGCAAGCATGTGGTGATGTTGCAGTAAGGGCATCATTAACTGAAACGAGGACTTGGTTGAAGTACGAGATTACGCTTCTGTAAGGAAGGGAATACTGTAGTCTCACCTCTTGGTGGGGATGGGATGGCCGAAATCTCCAAAATCAACAAGAGGCAAAAGAGCCACGCGGTTGCTTCATGGCCGGTTGAAATCCAGTGAGTATTTGACGCTATCCTTGTCCTCCAGCTGCCGATATAGACAAAGATTACGGTTGTTACTTGTGGCTTGGTGTTTATGTGACACCGACGCTGCGCAATCTAAATTGGAGCCATTGGGTGCTTGTTACTATAGCACAAGCGTGTTTCAACAAGACAACGCCAGAGACCCCCCGCCACACCCACAGCCGCGACGTTGTTGCCGGTGCCTGAATATGTCGATGAGCAGGTGTATCGAGTCGCCGGATTCGTAGAGCGGAGGAATCGCTCCCAAGTATCGAGTTGGAGGTGTTGCCACAGTGCTACTCTACCCCGGCAGCCAACCCTTCCAACGGCTCATGGCGCCGTTGCGAAAACGGGGTGAACGAGTCTCCGACCAACCCGGACGACATGATGAACCCCAACCCCAAGACAATGTATGTGGGGTCACAAACATCGCTGCCAACTTTTTTCGTTTGTGTTTTTGCTGTGTGTGCACACTGCTTTGCTGTCGACGTTGCTTGTCCGTCCGCTAGAGAACAGCGTTCCAAGTAGGTGATGCTGTCGCCACCAGCCACACATAGCTTCGGAAAAACAGAAAATGGCGGTGCCAACGGGGATGAATGCTTATGCGGGGTAGTCATCACGCGTGGGTTTGGCTCCCTTGAAACTTGCACCAGGAAGTAATCGACCGCGGATATAAATTCCAAGTGAAAATCCTTCACGAATGAGTAACGGTATTCGCGCTGACACCAGCTGTTTCGCAATGCGGTGGGGTGACGCAGCTGCTATCAGAAGTGGGCGGAGCACCACGGCAGCGAGGAGCCTATGCCGTACTACACTTGGGACGCGGCGGAGTGCTCACTTGACAACGTGGACGAGGAGAAGTTTTGCCGCGCTATGGAGGGGAGGAAAGGCATCCTGCTCGTGGGTGAGCGGGTTTCATGTGCAACTGACGTTACCGTTAACCCCGTCAGTGCTTTCCTCAACATCTCTGTCTCGTTCGTTGGAGGAATGCAGCTTGGGAATGTCTACGTCAAGCTTGAAACAACAAAGTGGAAAATGTCTATTTAGATTATTTGTCCAACGGGTTCATTATTCGTATCACCATGTCGTTCAAGCAGGATAGCCTTGCAGATATTTGGCTATGTTTCTATGAATACCCTCTGCAACTGATGTGAGTATGAGTTCGAGCAAATTAGGGTTGCCTTCGAGTGGCTTGAAGCTCACTGTTGTCACATCTCCCCTATAGACTGGATGGTAGCAAGCCGGCGTCCGCCCAGTGTGATACTCCTACGTGCACACGAGACAACCCCTCCCGTCGTTGTGCAACTTAAGCCTTTGGCAAAAGTTGCAACCTGCACTTGCCAGCCCTGCGTTGCTCGTGTGGGACGAACCTGCCGCGTTGGTTTGTGTCCGTCAAGCCGCTGCCTCCTGACAAAGCTGGTAGACATGCCCTGTATTCACTTGGCTTGCACTGGAACGTCGCTGAGCCGTGGAAACCGATTCTAGTGGGCATGTGGCTGGACCTGCACGCTTGAAGCATGACCTGGGCTGTCGATAATCATCTGACGTGTTCCGTCTCAACTTTGGAGTCAGCCTCAATGGGCGCTTCCCTCCATTCCACCTCCACACCGCCTTCGTTTCAGGGGACAGCATCACCGACCTCATGGTGAGAACGCTGGTTTCGGTCTTGCGTGCGACGTCAGAACAGGTCCACTCCAAGTACCACCTCAATCACGCCCGCAAGTGGGGGGCATGCAACGGGGAGGTCAAAATTGCATTTTATCGAAACGACTTCCTTGACACTACCACGAGGCGGAGTTCGTTTTGGGACGGGTTCTGTGACTCAAGAAACCCTAAACGGAACGCGCAGTGCGAAGTGTTCGCGGACGACGACACCCTCAAGGAGTACGACACGCTGATTATCAACAGCGGGGCACACCCCAGATCCTTGGACGAGTACAGAGACTCGATGGAGACCGCAAGCAAAGAGTTAACGGTGTCCATGAAACGTCTCCACGGAGATGATGCACTTCTCATCGTGAGAAACACCCCGCCAGGGCACGGTGTAACATGCACCGAAAGGTCAGTGCGCGAGGCTAGACGAGTGAGAGAGTGAGGACACAGGTGACTAAAAGGGTACGGGACAACTCCTCGGTCGCACTGGTGTAGGACTGCGTTGGAAAATGTTATTTCTACAACTCTTAAGTCCACATGCATCGCGGTAGTGCGAGTGTCCATCCATCTCCCGTACCGGTTGTGCTGGAGAAAGATTCGCTCGACAACCCCATGCGCGGCGTTCAAGACGTATCCGGGGAGGCAAGCTGCTGCACCTGCATCATGAAGGTTCTCAGAAGCGATCACCGATCTTGTCGCATTTCGTTTCACCCCACCGTCGCCGCTTGACCACCGCCGCAGGACGTTTGACGGGCCCGTTGATGTTGATACCGCCCTCGACTTGGTCGCGAGCGGACCTCACCAGTACCAGTGGGGCCGATTCCCGGAATACAATGCCATTCTCGAAGAGGCCTTTCTGATCAACGCTACGGATGGATGGAAGGAACTAGACGCCTACACACCGACCTTGCTTCGTCCCGACTTCCATTTGGGGGGAGACGATAACCCGGACTGCCTACACTACTGTATTCCAGGGCCAATAGATCACTGGATTCGACTACTGTACAATATGTTGTTGGCCAAAGGGTATCAATAGAATCGGTTGTCGTGGTGACGCGACAATATCCGCGTTTGGTGTGAACGGGATAAACTAGAAAATGTCTACAGATGATGAATCTTTGCCTCAGTTGATTTGAACACGTGCGTATGTAGGGTTAGCTTGTTGATGATCATCTTGCAGCCGTGGGGCGCGGGGCTGTACGCTCGGGAAGCCTTGCTGAGAAGCGAAGCAACCTCCAAACCTTGGAGGTTGAACAATTGGATATCGGTGGACAAAGCTCGGTCAAGATGGGTCGAGGTAAAACGCCTCCTACGATGGAACTGAAGGGAGCGGGTCTCTTCTGGTGCCCGCCTGAAGTGGACCACACGCCGGAGAAACCCCTCACAAGAAACAGCCAACAACTCCAAACTTGAACACACTGGTCGAACCTCAACTATCTAAAACGATGCCGAGTGCTCCGCGGATCAGTGTATCGATATTACGAAGAATTGCTACCCTTATGTAGAAGTGTGATGTGTTGCTGCGTTAAACACAAGAACACAAACGCCAGAAGTCCGTAGTTCGCACTAGCTAGTTCGCACACGCTTACCGAATGGCCAGTTGATTGGTTTTTCGGTGATTCGTGACGACAAAGGCGCGGCAGGGCTTCTTCGCAGCTCAGAGTTTAGTGGCATTTCATTTCTTGCTACTTCGGAATTCAGCACAACGAATCTGTCTCGGTTCACAGAGGAAGAGTCAAGGATGAGCTATGCTGCAATACAGATGTTCGTCGTTCCAGCAATCGGCCAAGCATGGACATAAAGTGGGGTCTCTGGAATCACGAAAAAAATGATGTCCATCCCAATCCCTGCATCTCACATGGAGGGTCGAAAGCATTTCGAATCGCTGTGCCGGGCGCACGTTTCGATCAGACGTGCGGGACTCCGCCTTGTACTGCCCAACCATTCACCCTGAACTTCGACACAAACATCAGTCACACGTACACCAGTGCTCTCAACTATCACTGCTCTCAGCCGATTCCGGTGTTCGATGGACGTCATTAACGGACGATAGAAGCTACACATGGATCCTGCCTGTGTCGGGGGTGTTTTGATATACCGTTTACTTTATCTCAGCCCGGAATGCATCTCTCGGTATTCTACGCCATGTTGGCGAAGGTTTTGTGCCACACGACAACTAACAGTTGTAGGGGCTCACGCACCCACACACCACATACACAACTAGCTGCACGCCACATCGGCAGCACTCATATCTCGTGTAGACGCCATGGACCTTTCACGTAGCTGGGTCAGGCTCGCAGCTGCAGTCGCGAGTGCCTGGGTATTGATGAGATCATTGTCGACGCTGGAACTCTCTAAACCGGTGTCGCGACAGAGTCCCCCGTATTCGTGTGTGGAGGTAGATTGGTCGGATTGTACCGATACTGGCGGTTTCGTATATCGCAGATGGGAATGACCTTGCGGGACATGCTAGGAGAGACTTTGGGATACGAGTTGCGGGTCCTCTTTCTACTGATTTTGGCCTTGCATTCCTCCTTTCTCCTCCTTTCTCCTCATGCTCCTCTCTGATGTCGCCCCTACGATCTAATACATGCGGTTAACAACACTCTTCTTTGGACTCTGGAACTCACACAACATGGGCATACACAAACATTCTAGAATGTGTCCTCCGGAGGCGCCCGCCCGTGATCTTCCGAGTTCAGCTGGGTGTCGGGACGCAGCAGCAGGGGTGTGTGTGTGTGTCCGGTGGGAAGCACCTTACTGAGCGACACGACGCGCAGGTTTAGACCAGGGGCTCGAGTAGAGACGAGAGCCAGGGATACCGGGGATGATGGGCACGCTGCGATCGCTGCTGCGGGCCGAGTCGGATGGGCGAGGCCAGGAGGAGTCGGGTTGTGCTGAAAGAGGTACAGCAGGTGCGGCGGAATTAGGGTGTTGGTTCCGCCGAGCAGCCACCGGGAGCTTCATGCTGCGGTGATCATGAGGGAGGGCCGCGCTGCTCGAGGAGAGAGCAGCAGTGTGCCGGGTATGGAAAGCGCCCTGATGCGGGTTTTGTAGGTCCCGCCTGCAGGGTAGGTTGGTTGGTGGAGGAGTCGAGCGGAGGAGAAAGCGCCGCTGCTGGGGTCAACCAGTTTGCCTCGGGCGCACAGTCAGGGGCGTCAGGCGGAGCCGGGATGTCGAGCATTCCGGGCCGCACGCGTACTGACGGCCAAGAGGGGTCACAGGAGGGGTCGAAGGAGTCTGGAGGGATTGATATCCCTCGAGGTGAGCTTGGTTCCAGTGTTGGGGGCGGTGACGATTTGGCGAGGATGCTGTATACAGCAATGTGACGCAATTGCCCCGCATCCTGCCGCCCCCGTTGAAGACTGCACCACCGATAGGAAGAACTACGTATCGAAGTCCGACAGCTGCTTGGGATTCGTTCACAAGAATTGCATGTGCCCATCGGTGGGGGAGAAGGAGAAGCAAACGGTTTTGGCAGTGGTCGAGTCACCCGAGAGCAGCGACGTCGACTCCGTATCAACGATTTATTAGCTGAGTGAGTGATGAGTGTGCGTGTATGAGACCACATGGGTCGGAAGTTATGAGAAACGGGGCAGTTTGATTGCAGTTGGATTGCCCGGGAGTACAGTAAGGGACGCTGGTGCACAGTCAGGGACGCCAGAAAGGGAACTGCAGTCGAAGGGTTCCAATTGTGTCCGCGGGTGATGAAACAACTTTGCCTGCGTGGACAATTGATGAGGTGGTACGTAGTATAGACGTGTCTTTGTTGCAAATTGGGCAGACGTGTTGACAAAAATCGGGCCAGTTGTGTGCTTGGGCGTATAGTCAGGGACGCGGGCGTACACTTAGGGACGCCAGATTGAAACGGGGGTAATGCAGCGTTGGTGTTTCCATGTCGTGTGTCGGCAGCAACGCGGCAGTTTGAATGCGCAGGCACACAGTCAGGGACGCCAGAGGAACAATTTATTTGTTCGAAAACAGCGGAACGGAAGTGTCATCAATGCAAGTCGCGTGGGGAGGTATCGCGTGCATTCATATTTGAGTTGGAACATGACTATAATAGGTGTTTGACTGCTGAAAGACGTGCCACGTAGTGCGAGTGACCAGAGGTCGAGAAAGTGGTTTCGGTCGTATTTCCACGGCCGGAGGCATGGTCTTATCATGTGTCTGTTTTGTTCAGCGAATTCTGGATGATTGTTGTGTGTATGTACTTCTAGGGCCGTCAGCCCACTGGGTTGTCTGGTGGATAACCCCACCTAACGTTTTAAAGACGCCTCCACAGGGTGGGTAGAGAGCGCGCGTTGGCACACCAGGGAGGGCACGTGAGGTGTTCCTCAACTAATAGGCAGCTTGTTGCGCAAGGGAGGGCATAAGGCGGAGAATATCAGTGTTTTCGTTTGGAATGGAGACAGCAGAGTAGAATCAGGTGCTTGTTAGTGGTTGTTTGCCCAGTTTATCGTACGGCCTCGCCAAGGTGTGGTGGGGACATGATCGAGTTGTTTTTGTGCTGCTCAAAGTTGGATGTTATGAAGTCCCCCGCGCGTGGCGTGTAGAGCGAACCCTGGGGCGGGGATATGATGAAGTGTTTTGCCTTGATGTTGCAGCACGGCCGTTGGAATCTCGTGATATGACTGGCGTGAAGGCGTTGAGTTTCGGAAGTGTTTTGATCCGACGGCGGGTTTCCCCTTGTTTTTGATTTGCGTTTTTTTCGGTGTTTTTCCGGATATACTTTCGACCCACGGATGGCTAGGCACTGGCGTGAACAACCAAGGGAGGGTATTCGTGCGTGGAGGTAGATTGGTCGGATTGTACCGATACTGGCGGGGTCGTACATTGCAGATGGGAATGACCTTGAGGGACATGCTAGGAGAGACATGAGGATACGAGTTGCGGGCCCCCTTTCGACTGGTTTTGGCCTGGCGCCCGTCCTTTCTCCTCCTTTCTCCTCCTTTCTCCTACCCCTCCTCTCCGATGTCGCCCCTGCGATCTAATACATGCGGTTAACAACACCCTTTAACAGCCGCTCTCGATGACTGAGAAAAAATATTTGATTGAGAATTAATATTTGGTCGGCGCACAACAATTGGCCGAAACGTTTTCTCTCATCACGCGAACGTGTAAGATTGAACGAAGGAAATCTGGGGTTTGAGGCGCGGGATTGAATCGTACAGCAGTCAGTGCAGCAGTGGCAAAGTAAGCAAGAAATTGCGGGGGAGTTTCATCGGGGGATGGATTGGATAAGCAACGGTGGTGATGACGTAGTGGAGTACAAACACTCGCTTTCAGCCAGCAGCAGCAGCAAGCAGCAAGCAGCAAAAAGAAAAGTGCACGCTGCATGCTCCTGTGAGATTAAGGGGGGATCTGCCGTAGAGGTCACCGCGTTTTAGGAAAGGTTAGGAGGGGGCTTCCGTTGTCTAGGTGATTGAGCGGAAAACCCTAAAAAATGCCAGGCCCTTCGAAAAAACAAATTTCACGCGCATTGGCAAAGCGGCCGCCAAGGTCGGCATAGACTGACTGCTGTTGTTGGAAACAGGAAACGCGACCTTGAAGAACTTCACACGAGGTTGACGATGTGCGTGGGGACCTGGAGAGCGAGGGTATAGCGTGTGGGTGTGTGGGCCGGTGTGTGAGCCGATAAATTGTTGGCCCTACGTGTGTCCGATTACCGGCGTGGAAACGTTGTTTGAAGTTGCTTGAAAATACACCAGACGGCCAAAACGTTTCGGCGTTCGGATCCGAACGCCGAAACGTTGTGGTGAATGTTGACAGTAGAACAGACCGCGAAAACGTTTCCGCGTTCCCATCGGAATGCCGAAACAGCATTGACTTACTTTCACGTGTTTGAGGTTTCCGAGGAACGGCCCGACGGCAGCAGACCAGCGCTTCAGAAAAATCAAAATCTGCATTAAACCTCCGTTGGACAATCATTATACGATTGGACACGAAGTAAACCCCAATTAATTCCGACCCAACCCTTCCGTCGTGTCTATGGTTGTCTGGGTTCTGACCAAACCCTCGGAGGAGGAAGCTCGTAGCAATAATTCCTCTGCAGGGATCCGTGCAGAGGTATTGTTTGCCACTCCAAACTTGAATTTTTATTTTCACACCTACCTTCTTTCATCGCGGTCGATGTGGATGGAATAGCAGAGAGAGGTTGTTGCCCGCTGACCCTTCTCGCAGTCTACCTGACCAGACACCCCATGGTACTTACAGTAGTCCAGATACTCTAGCCTTCTTCGGCGCCGTACCTGGCCCTGCCTCGAACTCCATTGACTTGGAGAAACTTCATCATCATCTCCAGGCGCAGGAGAGCTTCCTTCTACGCCGCCGACAGAGCCTCCAAAAAAATGTCGGCGTGCCGAATCGAGAGATGTATCCTCCGTGGTCGCGGACGGTTGCTGCCTACAGCAATGTGGCAGGAACGTTTCCGACCCTACAGAGCAGGACTACAGCTTAGAGCTGCTCAAGGCCGAGTAAGGCCGAACACCAGCGGTTTCAAGAGTCGGAGAGCGAAGCTGCACGGCACACCTTCGTCATCCAACATGTTCCACTCCAGAAGCACAAGCACAAGCTGTATGACGCCAATCGGAGGGTGTGTGGAAAGTTCTTCAAGGCTGTGTTTCCTGTTTCCAACTACAGTAGTCTATGCCGTGCCGGCTTTGCGGTCGCTTTACCCACGCGGCGTTAAATTTGTTTTTTCGCCGGGCCTGGCATTTTGGTATGTTCGCGTGAGAGGAAACGTTTAGGGCAAATGTTGTGCGCCGACCAATTTTTTTTCTCAGTAAAATATTATTCATCAACCATCGGGAGCGGCTGTTCTGTGGACTCTGGAGCTCACACAACATGGGCATATACAAACACCCCGCGTACGACGGTTGCACGCGACCTTGCCCTATGGATGCCCACCCGCCGTTGGTTGGGTGCCAACAAGAGCTCGAGTCTTTATCCATAGCGACGTACCGCATGCCCCAATTGGTTTAGTTGAAGTCGCGACCATCTTTACGGATGAAGAGGAAGGTTTGATTCTCGGTCGAGTAGCACGGTCGGGGCCCTGGGACTTTGTTCTTTTTTATGTATGAACCGCATATCCTGGCTGTTTCGGGAGAGAATTGTTCTCTCATGTGTGGAGCGCCCCTGGAGGGTTGTAATCCCTCGTCTCGGGACGTGCTCTGCCGATTGAGCTTCAACGACAGCTACAACGACTTGATAAGTGGCAAGGTTTTTGCGAGGTGGGCAGAGGATAGAGACACAGACAGAGAGAGGAGAGAAGGGGGGTTGGGGAACCGCGTATCACACCACAAACTACTGAGACATACGCACAGAGGAAGATATTCGGAAAGAGCATGTCGTAGTGGTGTGTGTGACGCCCTTGGATCGAGTTTCGATCCGACGCATGTGATACCGTTCCGAGCCGCTCTAGCCTGCACTTGAGGCAAGAAGGAAAGTTGGGGTGCTACAATTGTAAGCTAAAGAACAATGCAACAAGCTCTCCAGTGCAGCGACGATACATGACATCCGGACCCACGGACTCAGAGGATATGCACTCTGTAGACCACAGTTGTGCTCCGCTTTCGCTCGCTTGAAGTGAACTGCTGGACGGTGCTGTACTCATAGTTCCGCCGCTTTTTACCGAGCAGGAACCTTGTGCGTCACAAAACCTGTGTCTGCGCGCCCGCAAAAATAGTTAGCCCGCACCCTCAGCTACATCAGTACAGCAGTACAGCAGTACATGGATTCACCGAGTCACCCACAGCCACAAACAGGTGCAACATCGAGCACGGCGCGAAAATGTTTCGGGGTGTCCAACACTGGATGTTATGGAGCTGACATGCATTATACCGTCTCTGTTTCTACGTACATCAGTAGTGTACCGATTTTGGCAGGGAGAGAGAAAGAGGTTGGTTGGCGGTCCGGTCGTCCTGCCTGTTCGGGGTATTTCTCCGGCTTCTCGAATTAGTTTCGGCGCTAGCGCGAACGTCCATCTTCCATCTACGGTATGCATATCTCGCGGGGTATGTAGTATGTCGCCGAAGCTCAAACACACAGTCTCATTCCACACGCGCAGCTGCCTAGCACGAGACCATCAAGAAGCGGTAAACGATATTGCACACCCCATTCTCGTGTAGAAGCCATGGCCCTTTCACGCAGCTGGGCCGCGCTCGCAGCAGCAGTCGCGGGTGCCTGTGTTGCGGACGCGGCGATTGTTGATGCCGGAACTCTGACGGGTGTCACGACAGAGGCACTTGTGTTCGACGATCGCGCGAACTTACCCTCTGGATGCCCACCAGTCGGTTGCGTGGGCGCCAATACGAGAGTGAGTCTGAAAGACAAGTGTTTCGCGTGCACCTGGTTCATCACCCGTACTGCGGTATACGCTGCAGATACTGTAGATAGCGCTGCTGTAGACACTTACTTGTAATTTTCCACCGCACCAAATACACACGAACGAAAGGACTTCTCCGGTATTGTGTTCACTTTTTATGTCCGTACACAGGACGGCATCACGAGCGATGAATCTCGTTGGTCGTGTGCACCTTCGCTCGACTCCAGCGACTCTGGGTGCACCATCACCTACACTCTCGAAGACGAGCAGCATCTCGAAGCTCTGAAGATAGGTGAGGAATATGGTATTCGCCTTTCATTTGGATATAGGGTATACGGTATTCAATTGGCTTCTCAGACGTCGCGGTGTAAAGTGATTTTTGAACATCTTCACTGACGACGGGTAATAATCTCCGTTGATGCTGCGTGGACAGCAGGTTGTTACTTTCCTTTGTTCTCCCGCTGATTGTGATTTCCTGTCACCGTGCATTTAGTCTACACCATGCAGCCGGAATGAACCACAAACAAGACTCCAGAGAAGTACTAAACAGCTGAACAAAGGGGCATAACTCGGAATAACCACACCTGAATTTTGCCACAATGCCGTTACACAACTTCTGATATCGCCAAATATCCAAGTATCCATGGCAAGGCACCATCATCGCACGGCCACCTCCAAGTACCATAACATCGGAGTGTCTTGAGAATCAGAAAAGGCGGAAGAAAACTCGGTGCCAACACGCTAGCGTGCGTTGTATCTCCGATACAGAATCCTTTGGTTCTTCGGGATATTGCTATAGCGGGCGGTTGAGGCGTCGCAAAGACATCATCACTGGATTGGCATGCTCAGAAATCAGATCTGGAATATAGGGAAGAATACAATTTGTCTGCAAGGTACGCCCTCCCATGTTGTTGTTGTTGTTGTTGTTGTCTTCACATTAAAAACCGTTCCGATCTCTCTCTACCCAGTACCTTCGTATGTCCGTACTGATCCAACACTCGACGCGGTCGATTCCCGTGGTCACAGGTTAACTTACCCTAAAAAGGTACACTCAAAAAAACTGGCCCCGAGGGGTCCGCAAGTCAATAGAAATCAACGACAGATATTCTGGGATCCTCCGCTCCCTCTTCACGCTATTCGGGGTATCAACTGAGATTAGCAGTCACTATCTATCATGGGCCGGAGAGAAAGAGGCACACTCCCTTGGTTCAATCTTGGTACTTCACAACGCAAGCAGAGACAAGTCCATCTGGCACAGAAAAAGAGAGAAAAAAAGAGAGAAAAAAAGGACAAAGAGAAAAAAAAGGAGTCCACTGCGAAGGTGTACCGATTCTGGTAAAAGTCAATCGACGGATACCCTGCGAATCAGGTCCTCCTTAACACTCTCCACCCACAGAATTTACCCTCAACTGGGAACCTCTTGTGGCCAGGACTTCGATGGAAGTGTCACAAGGTTATTTATAGGATCGATTCCAAGAGGTGTGTTCTCAGGACTGACACACATTGTGTCCATGGGAAAATGTCCAAGTCAGGAGAAAAAATGTGCACCCAAGGAGATTCGAACCAGTATCCTGCTGACGCCATGTGCGAAGGTGTACCAATTCTGGTAAAAGTCAATCGACAGACACGCTGCGAATCGGCTCCTCCTTAACACCACGCGGAGGGAAAGACATCCTCAAGCTTGTGCGGGGAACGCATAATACGCCTAGTCATACAGCAGTCCTGCAGATCTGTGTGGAGCAGGCAAGGTTCTTCCAAGACTTGTGTGTAGTCTAGGGGGCGAACCAGCGCGCGAATCGCAAAGAAATAGACCCCGCGCGAAATGGTGCCAATTGTGTGTTGTTGTGACTTTGCCGACATTTGCGTAGGCTTTGCGCATGTGCCCTGGTGGTACTTCCCAATTCCCCTTCTACAAAAGCGATAGATGGATTCGCCGCCCTTCTTCGTTCTAAGTACCCCGCGACCGGGCGATGTTACAGAGGGAGCGCGAGAGAGAGGGAGGTGGTAGGGGCAGGTCATAGGAGAGGGAGGTCGTAGAGGGGAGAGGTAGCCGTAGGTTTGCTGTCAACCCGAACCGTTCGCAGGAGCATTCCCCGATCCACCATCCAACGATGACATAAATACAGTAGGACAAGCCCCACAACACTGCTTGCTTGGGCCGGCCGCACGACGTCCTGCTCGCAGCACTGTACCAGGGGGACACACGGACGAGGACCATCGACATCTCCGTAGATGGAAACTATGCCCTCAGTTGGACGAGCTCGGGAACGACCTCCGACTTCGAAAGCATTGACCTCGGTGTCGATGGTAAGGTCGTGGAGCTGGTCGGTGATCTGCAGGACTCGGAATGGCTCAGCATCCTAGAGGTTGGCACAATCTCGGCGTAAAATGTTTTTTTCCCAACATACTGCGTCAAATTGTTTACCCTAGAATGTTCATCGACGGGATGACATCACAATACGCCAAACGCACACACAACCCAGCCATTGTTGCTTGAGGTCGGATGAGTATTGCACAGGGCAGAGCCACATATCATAGATCCGAAGGCGTTCTATTTTTCAGCGGTCAGCACTGGTACACAACCAACGACTCTGCGATATGTCGCACCAGTTCGCACAAGTCAAGCACGCGAACTTGCCACGTGCTGAATGCGCAGGTGGAAATACTGGTCGACGATGGCGATGACGGTAGCGAGGTCGATGTGGTGGAGGCCGGCGAACTGGGAACAGTCACGGCTACGGCAGATCTCTACGACGATCGACTCGGGGACACCGTTGGCTGCGACCCCGACGGGTGCACGGCAGCGCTCACAAGGGTAAGGAATCGAACCGATTGCCGGGTACCTAAGTCGATGATGAAAGCCCCTTGTTCTGTTCCGTTCACGGGACGAAACAAAAGGCCGTATCGGCGGCCTCAATGTGGTTTGGTGGTCCATGGATGATGTTGTGAACGTCCTCCACACGCTTGGGTCGTGCGTCAGCATGCCCCCAAGCCCTAGTTGCTGCCGATATCACGGTTGACGACTCTCGGATCTGATGATGGCCGCAAGCTCTCAGAACGATTCTTACGATCTCCACGCCCTTCCATTGGTTGCTTTCTTTATCTTCACTTCTCTCCTTCCCTTGTGAAACCGTTTTGGTAGGATGGCGACATGTCCGAGGATTCCAGGTGGTCATGTGCTCCCGAGCTCGGCGGCCTCTGCAGCATCTCTTACGACCTTGGGGCTGAGTACAGCATCGACGAGCTTCAACTCGGTACGCATGAGTCCAAAACACCAATCCCTTCCGGTTCAACACCGCCTAGCCCATCACACTCACATCTTGCTCCTCTCGTAGGGCTGTCTTGCTCCATTTTGGTTTCCTGGGGTGCATTTTGAATTCCCATTCCGTTGTTAGCTTTGAATTTCCCCCCCGTTCTCTGCAGCCCGAACTGAAACTTGTCTCTGAATCGTGCGCCAAAACCCAAGACCAAGTTGCCCGGCGCTAGAGGTGTGGCTACATTCATTTTTTCTCTGATCCGTGCCCAAAATTGGATCCAACAAGCGTGTACAAGCGAGCAGCCACATGCTGTTCCGCCGTGACCCGCCAATTCACGACCCCTCCCCCCCACCCACCCTACGCCAACATTCAGCGATGTACCAGGGTGACACCAGAGTACGCACAGTAGACGTGGCCGTCGATGGAGATCTTGTCACGACATGGACCAGCTCGGGAACCACGAGCGGGTTCGAGAGCGTCGACATGTCTGGAGCAACCGGTCAAGTTGTAACTATCACGGGCGCTGAGCTGTCTGACTCCGAGTGGTTGAGCATCGTCGAGGTCAGCCGTCGTTGGTTGAATGTCATTTCGACGGGCCTTGATTTTTGCACGCCAAGGGTTCGGGACAAGTATCAAGACAGAATATATTGTCCCACCTGGTTTGGAACCAGCGTTGATCGAGCGTTTGTCTTCGGTGTTTTGGCGCTTCTGATTTCACGGTGGTGTGTCGGCCCGCGCTTCCTCCCATTGTATGTGCTCACGGCTTGTCGTTTCTACCCTGAAGGACATTGGTCAACCCAAGTGAAACATCTGTAGCTCGAGGGGGGGTCATGACTCTTCCCATAGGACCATCCATGTCTTATCCAAACCGTACGGCATTTGGACAAATCTGCTGAATTTTCTCGTCCGGCATCGCTGCAGACGGTGATCATGGTGTACAACGGAGTTGCCCCACCGCCCAGCCCCACGACACCGGCCACACCTTCTCCAACCCTCCCACCCACCACAGGTACCACATACTACCGCTTTTGCGACATGCTCAAACGAGGGGAAGCGTTTGGCATAGGGAAAACTCTCGCGTCTCCGCTACCACCGTTTGACGTTGCCTTTGCGCCCTATCTACCTCGCGTTGATAGAATTCGTGTAGCTGGCTTCAACCCCCCTGGCGGCAGAAACAGCGATGCCTTCGAACTGATGGGACCGGCGGTTGTCCGGCGTTGTCGATCCTCCGCCAACATTTTGGGATATTTCTTGCAGTCCTCAACCCCTGCTTGGACAGCACAAGCGATTCCTACGTGTGCAGCCCAACCGACGACCTCCCCACCACCCTGTGAGTACCTTGGGGATCTCACAGGAGCCAATGACAAAGGATTCAAATCTGTTCGTCCGGGGCGCCGACAATCTGTCGACCTTTCTACCCACACGTTTATTCACTGACAATTCATGCATATCCTGACGGTGCTGTTGTCTGGAACATCTAGAGAAGCACGCAGCATGTGCTGCTTTCCCCCTGTCTAGCGCGCCTTCTCCCTCTTTGGCTCGCACCTGACTAATTCATCGATGCCATTTTGTCGCGTGTCGCCCGGCCCGCTCGTCACATCGTTTTTCCGAGTCAGGAGCTTCCACAACTGCGACTTAGTGGACGATGACGCGGACGACCTGCCCGCGTGCTTTGAGGAATTCGGCATAACCAACCTCCACACGATGTATGTGCTTTGATCAAACGTACAGATACGCGGGCTAGGTGAACGAAGTTACGACAAGGATGCAGAATGAGGTGTCAAGACGTGCCCTCCGAGAGCGCAATACACATGAAAATGAAAACTCGGATGTCCTGAAGCAAACGTCGTCAATTCGTACAACTGGATATGGGTCTTTGGACGGGACAATGGCAAGAAAATCATAACCGTAAGAACATGCCGGAGTCATTGACCTACTGTCGCCAGCATGTACGAGTCGGACAGTCCTTGCAGACGTTGTCTCAGAACCAACCGGCATGATTTCTGCAACTGGGGTTTATCCTCGGGTAAGCAGAGCCCAGTTTCTTTGGCTTGCGGGTGAAAAAACAAAACAGGTGGCTCTCCTTCCAGTCCGAGTTGACGACTCTGCCGGTGGGAATCTTCTCGGGTTTGGACAATCTCCTCGACCTGTGAGAATATCTACCTTTTAGTCGATGCTACTGTGGCTGGTGTTGCTGTCGTTGTCGTATATGTGTACACCAGTTGCACCCGCATGTTACAGTGTCACTCGTGTCGACAACTCAACATGCGACTGTCCATATATCACTCTAACGGAAACGCAGTTTTGTAGTGCCTTCAGAACAAGTCCAATGTCGTGGTCAGGTTCTCTGCCGCGCCTCCATCCATCGAGTGAGGTATCGATATTCAGTCGTCTGCAGGAAAACGAAGTCGTTCTCGCAATCCCAGAAATGTGTTGGAGGAAATATCCCTTGGAAGGTGTGAACCTTGCGAACCTAGCGATATCTTTCCATACTTCTACCGTTAACCTTCCAGAGACCTGTCGTACACCGCAATGGAGACCCTCCCCGCCGGAGTGTTCTCCGGCCTTTCTGCTCTCACCAAGCTGTGAGTGTGTGTAAACAATCCAGTGTCGCACGGATCCAGTGGATTTTCTAGAAGAGCTTCTTCTACGGCACATTTATGCATTTCGTTGGCCTGGACATTTCATCAGCGCAAAATAAGAATACCGAGTGTTGGGCTACGCAACAGTTTCTGTTCTTCTGTCGCCAAGTAAAAGGCCTCGCCATTTCTCGGACTACTGAATGCAATGAAGTGTGCAAAGTCTCTGCACCTCTCCGGTTGAAGGATGGGATGCCACACGGTGAAAGGCCCTCCGAGACCTCCAGGTAGGTGCCAGAAACGCGAACATGCTTCCCCGCATTCGGCGAATGTCCTTGTATGGCCCCGCACCGGGTGAACGTTCTTGTTGTTGCTGTATCTTTGTGTTTGAGAATACTTTTCAACGTATCGTTCCTCAAGGCGTGAGAACGTACACGAGGCTACCGCTCAACAGTTCCCGTAGCTGTGTAGGAAGAGTGGGTATTAAAGCTGGGGAGTATCTTGTACTTCTGGACAACGTTGCTGTCGCATGTTCAAGCCGATGTTTCCCCCGCCTTTCGCTTCAGAGAAATTCACTGGAGCAGCTTGGAGGCTTTGCCCGAGGGCCTCTTCGACGGAATGACGAGCCTACAGACCCTGACCGTGTCGTCCTCTAAGCTGACCTCTCTGCCGGCGGGGGTTTTCATGCGGTTGACCTCCCTCCAGTCCTTGTAAGAAGAGAGTTGCGGCAGTTCAAAGGAATGTTGGTTTGGCACGTGTACATGGTATTCTGCTGTGTCGACGTTGTGATGTATTCTCAATCATTGCCCCACCAGGGGGAACAATCTTGACATGTATCCCTACAACCACCCCAAACCTACCGTGACATTCAACCCTCTTATGCATTTCATGTTGTACTCTTAGGGTGCCTCTTGAGTGACCACAATGATGAATTGCCCCACCGCCGCTCTGTCGCTCTTTGAAACTTCTCCAACCTCAATTTCAACGGAAACGTCGGCAACTATGTACGGCGGTGGCTGCTGTTTGGCGTGCAGGACCCTGTCAACCGACACAGGGCGTTTCCCGGACATCAACTTGCAATGTCTTCCTGCTTCGTGAGTGCGGTATCGGTTCGTTTTCCTCGTCCTATTTCGGCCTTTCTGGTTTAGGCAGGCAATAGGTTTCTGCTAAAGATGCTATTTCTCCTGTGAGAGATGTTGGCGACTCATTGTTGCTCCATCGATCGATGTTTCACTGTCAAGGGCACTTCAGAATGCCTGTGGTTAGCAGAATTTTTCTATGAAATGTGTCTGAACCCTTCGGTTTGAAAACTTTTCAAGACCTTCCATGTGCTTTATCCGCAGTAGTGACGTACACGTGTCCCTCCAAAGTGCGCCGAATGCGCTCTTGACGAGGGAGAAGAGGCTTGTCTCCAGTAATATATACGATTGTTTGCATACCCCCGATGCCGATGGGGTAACATCGATATGAGTGTGTTTCAAGCTTAGTCAGGGGCTACTACAGGCACAGGCCTTACCTGAGACAACGTGGAATATGTGCTTTCGACCGTTGGTAATTATTTCGCGCCCCAACCAGGACTGCTACGGAAATCTCCACCTACTCTCAGCCCGTAGACATTTCCGGTTGGACCTGTGGTGAGTGCAGGGTTAGAAACGCGCCGTGTGATTCGCTCACTCTGTGGGTTGTCCCACTTTGTAGGGATTGTACGATTTTATCATATTCTCACGCTTTCAGAAGTTCATGCACCCCAACCGAAGACTTTCGTCTGCAAGGGATCGTTTTGAGAAACTCGCTTTACGCGCTTTCGTATTCCGTTCAGATGTTGAAAATATTGTTGAAGCGTTAACTATTTCATTCAATGGCAATACCGTGTTTCAGAGAAGCAACCGGCCCTTCTTGAGTGGCTTACTGTTTCCGTAGCGTTCGGGTGTATTTCGGCGGTCCTTGCTTGAGGAGGAGCTACAGTAGCTTCTATCAATGGCTTTCGTTCTCGGGACGCTCTTGTCGTTGTCTCTCAGAATGTGAGCCTGTCGAGGCTATCATCTGCGAGACCGGGTCATGCCAGCCTGGAGTCGGAGGCTACACCTGCGGTGAGAACAACAGGACGATTTTTTGGAAGAGTTGGCTGTTGCAGCGCGTGTAGTGTATTCGTAAGTGCATGACCTCTGCATTTGTGCCCTCGTCTAGTTGTTGTGTAGTCCGCTAGAAGAACGTCTCTGAACCGGCTGAGGCTTACCCGATAAAGGGTACCTGATCTATAGTCGACGGAAATAATCAACACGTACGTTCCGATATTTCAACTCGTGCTGTACATATTTCAACCCGTTTTTGTCCATGTCACTCTTCGCGGCCGTACAGAATAACAGGATCAGCACCGTGTGAGGCAACCACGAGCCCCTCTGCCGTTTCATTCAACAAAAGAAGCCCAAGAGCGGGCACCGTCTGCTACGCCGTCGGATGTTTATAGATTGTGTTGGCCCAGGGGGCCGCCAGCCGCCACAATTCTGCAGTAGATAGAAGAGTTGAGGACTTTTTGCATATCATGCCCGTTGCTTGCAGCCGAGTTCAATGAAAAGTTGGGGTTTTTGGCGGGGATGGAGGATAGAAGAGCCCATAGGCCAAAGAGTAGTATGAATGGCAATAATTGGGGATGAGATGCCAGAGGCGTGACGACCAGTACGAAGACTAGATGACGGAACAATCGGTTCGCCAATGTAAATACATAAACAGCGACTTCATCAATATGGCATATGTACGGGACGTCGTGAGGCGGGGTGTGCTTTCTTCGTGGTGTTTGTTTTTTCAATAATCCGTACATTTGACTGGCTCGGCCAATCGGTGATGAAGAAGTTCGGATAAAAGTTTCGCACACAGCACCGATGGAAATGGTCGGGCATTGTTCAGGAGCTGTGTTTGAATAGTCGTCGGCTGATATGTGTCGGTTGGAATGTATCGTATGCGGAGGTATTTCGTCTGCATAGATTGTTTGTTTCGTCGATCTGTGATCGACCTCACTCTTTGTTATCTTCTCTGTGAACTACCGGAATGTCTGGTACCTTAGCTGTCCTTGTCGTACCTTGGGTGCTGCTAGCTTACCGCCTATACTGCAACCGTTACCTGTTGTGCATCCGTCAGTGTTGACCACCAAAGCACCGCGTGTGCTGTCGTACCTTGGATGCTGCTGGCTTACTGCCTAGACTACAACATCTGTCTGGTTTCTCTGTCTGTGTTGGTCACCTAAGCGCCGTGTGTACAACATCTCATCACCAAGTTCGTTTGCACTTCCTCTACGAGACCGTTACGGTCTCTAGAGGCTTCAGAGAACGGTAAAACAAAAGTATCTGTCGCCGCTCACTCCGAAGATCCAAACCACGCACTTTTGTGACCCGAACGCCCGAGGCGCGAGGAATCAGACTATCGGCCGTCCTGCACTACTTTAGACGCCCTCATCAAGCTGCAGCTTGATTGGTGCCTCTTCGTTAATCTTTGGCTTGTGTCGGTGACCGACCTTCTCAAGAACGAAACACGAGCATGCAACCGGTTCTTCCGGCACCAAATTTCTCCGATCTCCATTAATTTGTGCCTAAATGTTGCCGATACTCCACCAAATTGAAGCCCCGCCCAATCTACAGCTGGATTATTAAGTCCCTCGACGCTGGAATAGCTGTGTGTCTACCAATTTAGCCTGCCAACGAGAAGTTCGGGCCACACCGCTGCAACCTTCCGACACGGAGTTTATTCCCCCGCATTTTGTACGCACATAAACAACTTGATGATTGATGATTGATGACTCTATGACTCTCTGTTTTCCTCGTCGGAACACATCCATCCATCCATGCATCCATTGTACAATAACTCCGATCTCGACCAATTTGCGCATGCGTATAGTTACCTACCTACCATCAAAGTCCAATCTACAACGGGATTACCAACTTCGAGGCCGGGATTAGCCTGCCAACGGCAGGGCCGGGGCGGGGCACACCGGTTACCTACCCCGCGGAGGCTGCTTATTCCGCCGAGTGTCGGCGGTCACACTATGTGTTCGGGTCTTACGCGCGCATATATATGTTTGTTTGCTCCTTTGACAATATCTTGAGACATTTACAATTTTTTCCGCGAGCGCATTATTGTTGTTGACTTCTCGTCGGAACACACGAATCCATTCTAGAGTAGTTTACCTCCGATCTCGACATGTTTGCGTGTATTTGTAGTTGCCTACCTGCCATGAATTTGAAGCCCCGATGTCCGACATACATACATGATTCATCGTTTCCCGCCTTGAGGCCAAGACAACCCTTCCAACGAGAGGTTCGGGGAACACGTCTGCCACGTACTCCGTGATAGATTATTCCGCCGTGTTGGAAACATAATTTGTTCTTGGTATTCCGGCGTGCACATGCATACATACGTTTGTTGGCGGGGATCCTTTGTCAATAAAGTTGTGCCATGTCTGACATCGGCTTTATGATTCTCTACTGCTCTGGGTGTACCAACACTCTAGTGGGCACCTTCTTCGCTATTAACTAGGATGAGTGGTCGTGCCCCTGGTTTCAACTGGAATGAGTGGTCGTGTCGTGCCCGTGGTGTGCTGAGCAGCGTAGGGTCGTCGAAATTGTTTTTGCGTGGCATCACAGCAGCAAGGCAGCGTGCGTACATAGCGTGACGTACGTATTGTACAAAGTAAAAATGCGTTGATTACTCTCACACGTCATCATCATCTGTCGCTGATCCATGCACCCGCAGATGATGTGTGCGACATCGAACTCAATGGGATGCAATTACAATTTAAGCGCGCATACATTTTGGCACGCAACACCGATTTAGCGTGGTTGCATGCATTTAGATGTGGTGAGTCTTTTCTCATCTGTGTTCTCTCCATCAGACAGATTGAGTATTGGCCGATGGTTGTCCGTCTGTGCCCACCGTTTTCTTCGTGTCAATAACGCCGTGGTAAGGATACAACAAGATTGTAAGCACGCATGCATTTTTGCACACAGGTTGACACAGGTAGTGATTGGTTGTGTGTGAACCTTCATCGCGTCTGTGCCCTTTTTTTTGGTATCGCAGCTTGCCTCTACGAGCAATCACATCGACTAACGTAGGCGGGAGTCAGTTTTTGCTGCTACGTGCTGCAGCTTGTGTACAGAAGTTCGTTTCAGTGATCGGCCAAGTAAGGACATAAAGTGGGGTCTCTAGAATCCCGAAAAACATAATGCCCATCCCACTCCCCGCATCTCACATGGAGGGTCGAAAGCATTCCGAATCGCTGTACCGGGCACACGTTTCGACCAGACGTGCAGGACTCCGCCTTGTGCTGCCCAACAATTCACCCTGAACTTCGACACAAACGTCAGTCACACGTACACCAGTGCTCACCGCTATCAGCGCTCTCAGCCGATTCCGATATTCGTGGACGTCATTTTGACGGACGACAGAAGCTACACATCGATCCTGACTGTCGGGGGTATTTTGGTACCCCGTACTTTTACCGTAGCCCTGAATGCATCTCTCGGTATTCTGCGCCATGTTTCGAGGCACACGACAACGGTTGTGGGGGCTTCCGGCACACCCCCACACACCACATACGCAACTAATTAGCTGCACACGACACATTGGCAGCAGCACTACGTTACCACATCTCATCTATCGTGCAGATGCCATGACTCGTTGCTGGTTCACGCTCGCAACGGCAGTCGCGAGTGCCTGCGTGTGGATGAGGTCATAGTCGACTCGGGAACTCTCACCGGTGCCGCGACAGAGGCCCCCGTGTACGACGCTTGCACGATATTTCCCTATGGATGTCAACCCGCCGTTACGTGGGTGCCAACAAGAGCTCGAGCATTCACGCATAGCGACGTACCGCGTGCCGCAATTGGTGTAGTTGAAGTCTCGTGACCATCTTACGGATGAAGGGGGCGTTCGAATCTCGGTCGAGTAGCACGATCTGGACCCTCGGACTTCTTTGTTAATTCGTATGAAAGGCATATCCTGGCTGTTTCGAGAGAAATGTTTTCTTTCATGTGTGGAGCGCCGCTGGAGGGCTGTAGTCTCTTATCTTGCGGCGTGCTCTGCCTTCAACGACAGTCTACAACGATTTGGTGGGTGGCAAGGCCTGAGAGTTGGAAAGAGAATAGATCGAGACAGAGACGGAGAGCGGAAGAAAAGGGGTGAGATGGGGAACCTCGTATCACACCACGAACTACTGAGACATGCGCACCGAGGAAGATTTTCGGAAAGAGCATGTCGTACAGCAGTAGTGGTGTGTGTGATGCCCTTGGATCGAGTTTCGCTCCTACGCATGTGATATCGGTCCGAGCTCTAGCCGGAACCTGAGGCAGAAGGAAAGTTGGTGGGGCATTTTTGAAGTCAAACAATATCGCAACAAACTCTCCAGTGCAGCGACGATACATGACATCGACGGAAAGGTGTGCGCTGTAAACCACAGTCGTGCTTTCGCTCGCTTGTAAATGAACTGCTGGACGGTGCGGTACTGCTGTACTGGTACATATGTAGTTCCGCCGCTCTCCTTACCGAGCAGGAACCTTGTGCGTCACCAAACCTGTGTCCGCGCGCCCGCAAACAATAGTTAGCCCGCACCCTCGCACCCTCTCACCCACAGCCACAGGTGCAACATCGAGCACGTCGCGAATATTTTTAGGGGTGTTCCATACTGGATGCTGTGGAGCATGACATATCTATTGCTACATAAGACTGGATGTACCGATTTTGGCAGGGAGAGAGAAAGAGGTCGGAGGTCCTGCTGTCCATGCCTGTTCGGGGTATTTCTCCAGCCAGACTTCAGACTTCTCGAAGTAATTTCGACGCTAGCGCGAACGTCCATCTTCCATCTACGGTATGCATATCTCGCGGGGTATGTAGTATGTCGCCGAAGCTCAAACACACAATCTCATTCCACACGCGCAGCTGCCTAGCACGAGACCATCAAGAAGCGGTAAACGATATTGCACACCCCCTTCTCGTCGTGTAGAAAAGCCATGGCCCTTTCACGCAGCTGGGCCGCGTTCGCAGCAGCAGTCGCGGCGGGTGCCTGTGTTGTGGACGCGGCGATTGTTGACGCCGGAACTCTCACCGGTGTCACGACAGAGGCACCTGTGTTCGACGATCGCGCGACCTTACCCTATGGATGCCCACCCGCCGGTTGCGTGGGCGCCAATACGAGAGTGAGTGTGAAAGACAAGTGTTTCGCGTGCACCTGGTTCATTACTCGTACTGCGGTACACGCTGCAGATACTGTAGATACAGAGAGAGTAGATAGCGCTGCTGTAGACACTGCTGTACTTGAAGTAATTTTTCACCGCACCAAATACACACGAACGAAAGGACTTCTCCGGTATTGTGTTCACTTTTTATGTCCGTACACAGGACGGCATCACGAGCGATGAATCTCGCTGGTCGTGTGCACCTTCGCTCGACTCCAGCGACTCTGGGTGCACCATCACCTACACTCTCGAAGACGAGCAGCATCTCGAAGCTCTGAAGATAGGTGAGGATTAGGGTTTTTCGCCTTTCATTTGGACATAGACTACTGCTGCATTTGGCCTCTCACGTCAGTGTAATGTAATTTGCTTATCTATCTTCACTGACCACTGGTAGTGCCCTTTGATGTTGTGTGGACAGCAGGGTTGTTGTTGCTTTCCTGTGTTCTCCCGATTATGCTTTCGTGTCACCGTGCATGAACGTCATGCAGCCGGCATCAAACACACCACGACCCAAGAGCGATACTTGAACAGAATAAATGGCGAATGACTCGGAAAACATGATTTTTCGAGTGTCGTTACATAACTAACTTCTGATATCGCCAACTATTTACAAGCATGGTAACGCACCATCACACGGCCACCTCCAAATACCATAACAACATCGGAGTGTCTTGAGAATTAGAAAAGGCGGAAGAAAACTTGGTGCACACACGCTACATTGTGTGCGTTGTATCTCCGACCTTGATTTTTTGTATTCTTCGGGATATTGCTGTAGCGGGCGGTTGAAGCGTCGCATCGTCACTGGCCATGCTCAGAAATAAGATCTGGCAAATTTTTCCAGTAGGAAAGAAATATTATTGTCTGCATCATTGTCGCGGGAACGGTACACCCTCCCATGGTCCACGTGGAAGGAACGACATACTCAAGCTTGTGCGGGGAACGCACAATACGCCTAGTCATACAGCAGCGCTGTAGATCTGTGTGGAGCAGGCAAGGTTCTTCCGAGACTTGTGTAATCTAGGGGGCGAACCTGCGTACGAATCACAAAGAAACAGACTCCGCGCGAAACGGTGCCAATTGCGTGTGTGACTTTGCCGACGTCTGCGTAGGTTTCGCACCTATGCCCTCGTGGTACTTCCCAATCCCCTTCTACAAATGCGATAGATGGATTCGCCGCCCTTCTTCGTTCAAAATACCCCGCCACCGGTACATGCTACAGAGAGAGCGCGAGAGAGAGGGAGGTGGCAGGGGCCGGTCGGAGGAGAGGGAGGTCGTAGAGGGGAGAGGTGGCCGTGTATTTGCTGTCAACCCGAACCGTTCGCAGGAGCATTCCCCGATCCACCATCCAACGATGACATAAATACAGTAGGACAAGCCCCACAACACTGCTCGCTTGGGCCGTGCTCGCAGCACTGTACCAGGGGGACACACGGACGAGGACCATCGACATCTCCGTAGATGGTAACTATGCCTTCAGTTGGACGAGCTCGGGAACGACCTCCGACTTCGAAAGCATTGACCTCGGTGTCGATGGCAAGGTCGTGGAGCTGGTCGGTGATCTGCAGGACTGGGAATGGCTCAGCATCCTAGAGGTTGGCACAATCTCGGCGTGAAATGATTTTTTTCCAACATACTGTGTCAAATTGTTTACCCTAGAATGTTCACCGACGGGATGACATCACAATACGCCAAACGCACACACAACCCAGCTATTGTTGCTCGAGGTTGAAAGAGTATTGCACAGGACAGAGGCACATAGATCCGAAGGCGGTGGATCTTTCAACGGTCAGCACTGGTACACTACCAACGACTCTGCGATATATCGCACCGGTTGGCACAAGTCAAGCACGCGCATTTGCCACCTGCTGAATGCGCAGGTGGAAATACTGGTCGACGATGGCGATGACGGTAGCGAGGTCGATGTGGTGGAGGCCGGCGAACTGGGAACAGTCACGGCTACGGCAGATCTCTACGACGATCGACTCGGAGACACCGTTGGCTGCGACCCCGAAGGGTGCACGGCAGCGCTCACAAGGGTAAGGACTCGCATCGACTGCCGGGTACTTAAGACGATCCCGTTGTTCTGTTCCGTTCACGGGACGAAACAAAAGGCCGTATCGGCGGCCTCAATGTGGTTTGGTGGTCCATGGATGATGTTGTGAACGTCCTCCACACGCTTGGGTCGTGCGTAAGCATGCCCCCAGGCCCTGGTTGCTGCCGATATCACGGTTGATGACTCTCGGATCTGATGATGGCCGCAAGCTCTCAGAACGATTCTTACGATCTCCACGCCCTTCCATTGGTTGCATTCTTTATCTTCTTCCTCTTCTCTCCTTCCCTTGTGAAACGGTTTTGGTAGGATGGCGACATGTCCGAGGATTCCAGGTGGTCGTGTGCTCCCGAGCTCGGCGGCCTCTGCAGCATCTCTTACGACCTTGGGGCTGAGTACAGCATCGATGAGCTTCAACTCGGTACGCACGAGTCCAAAACACCAATCCCTTCCGGTTCAACACCGCCTAGCCCATCACACTCACATCTTGCTCCGCTCGTAGGGCTATCTTGCTCCATTTTGGTTTCCTGGGGTGCATTTTGAATTCCCGTTCCCGTGTCAACTCTGCAGCTCACCCCCATTCTGTAGCCCGAACTGAAACTTGTCTCTGAATCGTGCGCCAAAACCCAAGACCAAGTTGCCCGGCGCTAGAGATGTGACTGCCTACATACATTTATCTCTGACTCATGCCCATAATTGGATCCAACAAGCGTGCACAAGCGGCAGCCACATGCTGGTCCGCCGTGACCCGCCAATTCACGACCCCCCCACCACCCCACGCCAACATTCAGCGATGTACCAGGGTGACACCAGAGTACGCACAGTAGGCGTGGCCGTCGATGGAGATCTTGTCACGACATGGACCAGCTCGGGAACCACGAGCGGGTTCGAGAGCGTCGACATGTCTGGAGCAACCGGTCAAGTTGTAACTATCACGGGTGCTGAGCTGTCTGACTCCGAGTGGTTGAGCATCGTCGAGGTCAGCCGTCGTTGGTTGAATGTCATTTCGACGGGCCTTGATTTTTGCACGCCAAGGGTTCGGGACAAGTATCAAGGCAGAATATATTGTCCCACCTGGTTTGGAACCAGCGTTGATCGAGCATATGTATTAGGTGTTTTGGCGCTTCTGATTTCGCGGTGGTGTGTCGGCCCGCGCTTCCTCCCATTGTATGGTGCAATGACTGCTCACGGCTTGTCGCTTCTACCCTGAAGGTCATTGGTCAACCCAAGTGAAACATGACTCTTCCTATAGGACCATCCATGTCTTATCCAAACCGTACGGCATTTGGACAAATCTGCTGAATTTTCTTGTCCGGCATCGCTGCAGACGGAGATCATGGTGTACAACGGAGTTGCGCCACCCCCCAGCCCCACGACACCGGCCACACCTTCTCCAACCCTCCCGCCCACCACAGGTACCACATACTACCGCTTTTGCGATATGCTCTCACGAGGGGAAGCGTATTGCATTGTGCAAACTCTCGCATCTCCGCTACCATCGTTTGTCGTCGCCATTGTGCCCCACCGAGCGTCGATAGAATGCGTGTAGCTGGCTTCAACCCCCCTGGTGGCAGAAACAACAATGCCTTCGAACTGACGGAACCGGCGGATGGATATTTCTTGCAGATCTAAATGTTTGCTTCGACAGCACGAGCGACGACTACAGGTGCCTTCCGAGCGAAGACGACCCGAACACCGTGTGAGTCCGACTGGCGCGCCCAACCAAGCCACCGCGACGTGGATAGTCTGTGATAATGCTGACAGCTGGCTACGGAGATCGATATATCGGGAGCCCGCATGCCCCCCCCCGTGCACAGCGTAGATACATTCGACGGTATTGCTTCGTTTCACCTTTCCCACTGGCATTGCCGCGCAATCGTCTTTGGGGCTTGACCGCTGTTTGCTCTATCAACGCTTACCAGTTACTCTACGAGGCCAAGATTTCGGCCCTGTCTCTCACCCACTTGCTCACTCGACAGTCGAGGTCAACCTAGATTGAAGCATATGGTTTTTGATGTCCCGCCAACCTGCCACATCATACCTATCGTGCTGATGGCTACAGATACTTGAACAACTGCAACTTCGTGGATGCTGACGGCGCTGACATTCCGGCGTGCTTGGAGATCTTCGGGAAGGCCGACATCCAGTTCGTGTACGTGATTACCCGGAAAACGGCCAGTACAATCAAAGACTTGTCACAAGGAGGTCGATAACAAGTTTCGCTCGGAACGACACGACTGTGCTCCGAGCCACGTCCCTAACAATCGAAACCATGATTGTCCACGAGGTGCAGCAGTTTGCACGAGAACCTCGAGATTAACTTTCGCGCTGCTTGACCATTCTCCGTTTCATGCCCCGTCATAATCTAGTCGTTCTGATGTTTTCCGTCGAAAATGTCTCAGGTATATGCCCTTCCATGACGACCTGACCACCTTGCCGGTGGGGGTCTTCTCAGGCTTGGACAACATCCTCGATATGTGAGAATGGTTTCGTGTACACCCCTGTAGTCGCCCGTGGTATTTTGAACCGCGATCAGTCATTTTTTTGCGTCCTTTATATGGCAAAAATGCTAAATGCCTTAGTGGGCTTTTCAGCCGCTCCTCGAGCCCGCCGCTCCTTGACAAAGTAGGCTCCACAACAGCGCGCGCGACAAAGGCTTGAGGAATTTCACAAGGGTCTCTCCTGAGCCTCATCCCACAACGCTACCGTGCATCCCGTCGTGGAGACCGAACCTTCCGCCGCAATATGATTGTCTCAATGGGTGGGGGGGGATTGCAACGGACAACACAACAAAAGAACGTTGGACTTCCACTCAACGGCTTCACTTGTCGGAACCCGCCAGCAGATCTTTCTCTCGCGCACACCCTCCACACGAAGCCTCCGTCAAGTACAGATAGACTGCAGCACTTTGATCCGTTGATGACCCTCCACGCCATTTTCTCTACCCGGCGGTGGGTGTGTACTTCGCTGTCAGACTTCATAGCTGTTAGCTTGAACGGAAAGCATGAGGTTTAAGAACTGTGTTGTGATCTGCTGCGCTTCTCTTGCCCTTTTTTCCAGGGATATCTCCTACACCGGGTTGCAGACACTCCCCGCCGGTGTGTTCGACGGCCTTTCGTCTCTCACCAAGCTGTGAGTGCAACATGTCCGGACAACATGGTGCAATCGTGTGGAATACATGAATTCAAGGAGCAGGTTCTGACCTTGTCGGTTACTTTCAACGTGCTGCTAGCATTCCTGCCCATTGTTATCTCTGTTGAGAAGAGGCAGAAAAGTCCCCACGCCATGCAACACCGTCGTGTGCCTGGGTCACACCCGCTGACTGGGTCGCGCGGTAGTTCGAGCACGCCTAGCAGGAGAGGTGATTGGCTCGCCGATGCTCGAATAACCCTTATAGATTGTTCCTCCTCGCGAAAAATCCCGCCTTCGATGGTTGTGTGAGGCCTGCCAGAGAATGACCCGCCGTTCCGTACTCACTCGTTGATGCCTGTTGGGCCGCTGGTTGGTTAATGATCGCAAAATCCGTCATTCCGACGGGTGTGAGAACAAGGAAGAAAGGGAAAACGTACCACAGTATCCCACCAATGGATCGCGCAAGGGTTGTCGGAAATGGATGACAAGGGTCTTGTTGGCGACCCTCTCGCCCCTTCCTACAAACCAGTCGAAACCGACCTATGTTTCTGGATCCTGGTTTTAGGTCGATTCACTGGAGCAGCTTGGAGGCTCTGCCCGAAGGCCTCTTCGAAGGAATGACAAGTCTTGTGGACCTAGGAGTGACTTCCGCAAAGCTGAGCTCCCTGCCGGCAGGAGTGTTTACGCCGCTAACCGCCCTCCAGGAGTTGTAAGTGCATCATATTTCCGATTGTGGCAAGTGAACGGTCATTCCAGTTGTGGCGTGAGAAACGCGTGTCATCTTTGAGCAAGTCCCCCACCGGCCAAATGGACCCCTGGCACTTCGAGTTGCCGAGAACATGGGTTTCCTTTCACGCCTGCATCCTCGTCTGCGCCCACCAGTCAATACAAACAAGATGATGGTACCAATGTCAAGCTTTCCAGTTGCAGCAAAACTAACCACGCCGCCGACGCCTCCGCTACGGTGCGAACGCGCTCTTGTCTCCTTTTCGACGACAACATCGACGACATGAACGACCGCAACAACGTCTGCCTCGTTCTTTACCACAAAATCGACACTAACGACCACGACAATGACTCCGGCACTGCGGCTTCGCGAGCAGGACGCTCTCCACCGATGTTTCGCGTTTTCCCGATGTACAGTTGCAGTGCCTTCCCTCCTCGTGAGTTCTACCGATGATATGTTCGGCTGTAACTTTGAGTGCATCGTGAGCAAGGTGTTGTTGATGACGTTCACGATTGTGCCGCTGGCCGCTTTGTCGACGGAGTCAAAGGACTGTACAAGTATTGGTAGGAGATGAAACTGGTGTTTTTGGTGATGCTTTCATCGATGCCACAGGTGTGCACTTTTCCTCGTCCCGCGAACTTCCACTCAATGTAGTGCTTCCGCTCCTTTTGGTTGATGATAGTGCGCTTCATGTTTATATTGACAGTATACCCTTCACCGTTGATACTATTGTGCGCGTGCCAGGACTGCGACAACAATCGATCTCTGGTTCCAACCGGAGGAAGAAATTCTGGAAGGAACCTGCGGTGAGTTCTCGGATAGGAAGCTTGCCTCTCGGTCTAACCTACACGATGTGCCCTGCCGGGAACATGTGTTGTTGCACTTACGGCACCCGTCCTCGTTTCAGCTTCCCCCGTAACTGAGGGATACGTATGAAACTGCAATGGAACGAACCTTTCAAGCTGGAAAATCTGTGCCACGTTAAAAACTCTACTTTTCCGCGGGACGTGTTCACCTTTATTTGACGTACATCCCTCCGCAGAATGCGAGCCGGCCGAGGCAATCTCCTGCGAGGCCGGAACGTCTTGCCAGCCCGGAACGGAAGGCTACACTTGCGGTAAGCAGAACCGGCGGCGACTTTGTCGAACGCAGCGAGTCGAGGATGACCGACAAAGGTTGTGGCGTTTACTCGGCCAACCTAGGGTATAGCGTATGCCGGCCACCTGCTTTGTTTTAGTCGCCTCTGGGTAAGCACCCTTCTCCGAAGATGGTGGCTTCGCCCTCTTGTCGGCCACCCAGACTGGTTTCGCCTACATTCCGTTTACATCTTGACGCACCGTTTTCGCGTGCCATGCGCTCTCCTCTCTGTTGATGGCATCGCAGGGTAAATTGCTCAGGCAGCCCTCCCAGCACACTCTACGGGCGCACATTGGGGGCGACGCAAGGCATGCCGAACGCGCCACCGTATGCTGCGCGGAAGCCATGATGATCGTCCAGCGACCGCCACTATGTTATGTTCTATTTTGTAGATCGTTTCTCTTTCTCCGGGAGCACTAGATGCTGTGCCTCAACGCTCGCAACCGTGTGCTCCTCACCACGGTAGATTTTGGGCCCTTGGCCATACGGCGGGCGGGCGCGCCGGGCATGCATTTTTGGGGGAGTTGTGTGCGTGTTGTATTTTTGAGTGAAAAAAATATGTGGTCGAAGGATTGGTACCTTTGGAGACCTGAAGTCGTTCGAGATGTCGGATGCCGTTGTGGGATAGAGGAGGAAGTACCGGTAGTGATTTTTTTATGCGAAAATCGGTGGATTCGATGCACTATGCGTAGAAAGGTCGCGGTGGAAGCACATGCGAATTGGCAGCTTAGATGGCCGCTTGGAGCTTTCCCGCGGTGTGATAGGCGCGTGCATACATACAGTGGTCATGACTGTGTTGTTCCGTAGATGATTTCCCCGTCCCCAGAGACGCTTCAGACGGGTCGTACACAGGGTTAGGCTGAGACTTGTGGTGTCAACAGTAACGCCTGGTCCAATGGATGCTGAAATGTATGATTGAATGTGTGTACTACGGATCCGATGGATGCTGAAATACAATATTCAGCACCTTCGTGTACTTGAAGTGACGGGTGGAGCGCCATTTCTTCAAGCTAGGCTAGACCGACGGAGCTCAATGCGAACGTCAGGGGGAAGACATTGCCCTAATAAAACAATGGTGAAACAGTCTTGTCCATCACGCGGCATCGCGAAAAGCCCGACTCCAGCCAAACCTTTCGTAGTTTTCCGTTTGTCCCCAAGGTTTTTTCTTGTTGAACACCCGATGGTGGAGAAGAAACAACTCCCCCCCCTCCGCCATATTTGGCAAGTCCCCCCCAGTGGTCGAATTTTCTCTCAGATCGATCCTTGTTAAAATATTTCCCGTCAGGAGGTGAACGTGGTGTTTCTTCAGCAGTGTCACATCATCACGTGCCTGAAGGGCTAATATAATATCGCAATAGCTCGTGTTGAACCGGTCTCCTCGAACGCCGCTGGGGTCGAGGGGAAAGCCAGCGACCAAAGATTCGCACCGCCGATGAAATTGCACCCTTACCCTTGCGGCATGCCAGCGGTTATATGCACCGGCACGGATGAAGACAACCCATGGCGGTAATTTGTAGCCGCAAGAGGAGTCAAGATTAAGAACCCCAGCCTCGGCCAAAACGAGAGATTCCTAAGTGCGCGGGCGCCATAGATACCAGTAGTCTTTCCCACGACCGTCCGAAAAACACACACATTGACACCGCGCTCTTCGACGTTACCGCCGACGAGACAAGGAGCATTGTTACTTCACAACCGTTTTTGCCCCCCTCCACGCCCAATGCTCTTCCACACCCTCGAAATTCTGACTATTCCTTCACTAGCTTACCAGCTTGGTCGTGTCGCCTCTGGTGGGCGCCACCCTCGCAATTTAACCAGCGAGAATACATTACAATACTAGTGACTGAAGGGATTTTGTCACGGAAGCTGAGTCCAATCAAAGCTTGAACTTCGTTGTATGCGGATCTACCGGTCGGAACCCCCTAGAACACCCAACACTCAAACTGTGAACGAAGCGCAAACACTCAAACGCCAAACGACGAGTTTCAGGATGCACATTGGCTGGACTATCCGCCTACAGTAGCAAAGCGCGTGCTTCTTCGATACGATACACCATAGGAAGCAAACCAATCGGAACTACTCCCTCTTGCAGAGACGTCACCAACTTCTGGATACATTCGCGACTACCGCCTCCGTTTGCCGTTTAAATAGCACCTTCAGAAGAAGGGCTTGACAACTCAGCTTCACCCTTTCGATGTACGTGTCGCCGCCTATTGGTACGCACGGACCTCCTCTTCTCAAGCTTTGCTTCGAGACTCGCCATGCGATCATTCAGGCGCTGAAGCTCGCTTTTGGTTGTTTCTTCGAGGTGGTCGCGGAGAAGCTTGATGTTATCCATTGATGTTTTTTCGAGGCGGTTGCGGAGAAGCTTGATGTGCTCCACAGTGGCACGCCTTTCTTTCTCATCCTGGCGAACATGTTCATCATCCATCGGGTCCTCCAGAAACTTACGCAGCTTGTCAGCCCTTGCACCGGCATCACCCTTCAGCAACATTCTCTCTATTGCAGGCTTTCCGACAGAAGGGGGGGATTTTTCTTTCGCAGGAAGAAAGCAATCAGGGAGTACTTGACGAACAAAAGCCGCCAGCCACAGCACTACCAGAGACATTGGAGCACCGATCACACACCACAAAAAAATCAGAACATACCGCCCACATATGGAACACAGCCCCAAGCCTGTCCACTCCTGGCTCGTCAGCTCTGCTCCCTTGTACTGTTTGTACCACGCGTATTGCGCGTAGGGAAAAATCGGGAGACCCGAAAGAATCCACATAGCCACCCCGGTAGAAACAGCTACGAGACCCAACACCAACCAAAACACAAATTGCCCAAATGCATTGCGAACGTGGACATAAACACTGTTCGCTTGCTCACAACCCTCTCTCAAGGTCCCCATCCTCATCCCCTGGAGAATTGCGACTACCAACCAGCAGAGCATAACAACCATCCACACGGCCCACGATAGGACCTCCTGCAACACGTTGAAGGGGGCAGGCAGCACGTGGTGCTCTACGACCCACTGGTAGTGTTCTACGACGCGCGCCTTCGAAACTTTTACCTCCACTTTCACGTTGTCCTGGACCTCTGCATGCGACGTGCTCAAAATTGCTACCAAGAGGTTCAGGAGCATAATCGTGACGACGAATAGGTACACCACGAGCAGAACGGTTGCCACACTGTCATTGTCGTACTGGTCAGTGGCGATTTCGTTAAAGAAGTCGACATCGCCAAGCATTGCCTTGAAAAGGGCAAGGAATGTCGTGCCAAAGCTATCGACGTCATGATAAAGAACGTGGAGAGCCATCGCAAACCCCATCATCACGACCACCATCACGAACCCAAACTTGAGGAGAGTTGTCGTCATGCGGAATATCACCTGTGGTTTACAACGACGTGGATCACACTGCTCAGTCACTCGTCGAATCAATAGTGTACTCGAACTGACGACTGGCTGTTGCAGGACGTGTATAATTGCTGAAGCCGCCTCACCTTCAAAGCTTCCGATGAAAAATAAATCCGCATGTCATGCGGAAAACGTATCTACGAAAGCCGAACATGTGGCATCAAAGCACTTTCGGCATCAATAGCACGGCTGTGCAGGGGGGCTATTCCTAACAAAAAAGGTAGTCAGCGCTGGCTCCTTCGGCCTTACAGTAGGGGATAGCCCCTCTATCCTAACAATCTGTGTATCTTGAAACCTACCTTGATCATAGGGCCCTGAAAAGGAAGAACCTGGGCGAAGAAAAGAACGCGAGAAACGAACAGCGGAGCACTTAGCGCGTAGAATGCAGTCCCCCATGGACTAGTCCAATCGACGCCTCTGATGACCAACCCAATGGACAGGCACAGGAGACCCAGCACGTCCAGGACGTTCCACTGGTCTTTGAAGTACCTGTCGATGTCCTTCCACATCTCTCGCGCTTCACGAAACCCTCCAGCCTGCCCCCATCACACGCGTAGACAACGAGGTCCAAATAAAAGAGTGGGGGGGCGACTTTTATGCATTTGTCCCATGGCTAGACACGAGTGGGTAACGTGTGTGCTCGCCACGGAAGGGCGGAAACGAGCGGTAAATTGTCACCAATACTACAGCCTTGGCCCACACCCAATCGCCGGCGACGTTTCCCCCGCAACACAGGGTTGAGCACGCGGTATTCTACAACCCCCCCCCCCTCCGTGTGAGTTGTACAGGAAGGAAAGAGAGGATCTCGAGGAGGAAATGAGACAGAGAGGGTGTGACATGGACAAGTTTGGTAAATTAGACAACAGCGAAAAAACGATCGCGATAATTGGGGATAGATGGTGGGCACAAGAGGCCCTAGAGGACGGGGATAAGATGTGCAAGAAATTTTTATGGAGTTTGTGGCAGAAACGTAAAGAGCTCCCAAATGTTGGTGGTGTCTCTAGTAGGTGTAGGAACGGTGCTCCGTCTCGAAAGGGACGCGTGGTCAATGGTCAAATGACTACGGCAAGCAACAAATGAATACGCCCCCCCCCCCCCCCCC